AGGATGTCGATGATGTCGAGGATGTCGAGGATGTCGAGGATGTCGAGGATGTCGAGGATGTCGAGGATGTCGATGATGTCGAGGATGTCGAGGAAAACAGACACAGTGTAAGATATTAACATTTTATTTTCAACTATGGCTGGTGTATGAATATAAATTAAATGTTTGTCTCAAGTAAAAAACATTTTACCTTGATTGTTTTAAGTGTTATGTATTTTACACAACAAAAAAAAAAATAACAAGTTTACAAATATTTTACAATGATAAATTACACTATCACCGGCTTTTTAATTAGCAGCAAACAAGACAAAACAAATGTATGAAAATCTACTAAACAGGGTAACAGCACGTTTTTCAAACCCACTGATTAATGAGGCCTGTGAGTGTTCACATCGCCTCCATTGACACTAGAGTATCCACAACAAGTATCTACAAGTGTTCTCCACGGTGTCATCCTCTGCGTCTTGTTGCGCGTCTCACCGACCGGGCGCACTTCGCAAGTCGCACGTCGCACGTCGCAAGTCGCACGTCGCAAGATCGCAAGGATAGGAATGATTGTTCATTCTTGTAAAGTAACAAGCACTAGGCGCGAGGTCATAGCACGTGCACTGCGAGCGGCGCGGCGTGCACGCGGGGCGCGTGCGTCGCGGGGGGCGCGTGCAGCCCGGGGGGCGCGTGCGGCGCGGGGGGCGCGTGCAGCGCGGGGGGCGCATGCGGTGCGGGGGGCGCGTGCAGCGCGGGGGGCGCGTCGGGTTCGTCCAGGTCGAGCGCGGCGTCGATCATAGTGGTGTCGTGCAGCAGCCGCAGCCGCGAGGCGCTGAGGCCGGCGCCCGCCCCGCCCCGCGCCCCGCCCCGCGCCTCGTGCCGCCCTCCGCCGATGCATATCTCTGGGCAAACAAAGAAAATACGAATGGCGGCCGCGTTCCGTTTTAAGGAATAAATTTATATGTCGAAGAGACCGGCCGAGTGGAACGCACCTTGCAGCGGCACGGGGTCCAGGTCCAGGCTGTGGTTCATGTAGGCGTGGCGCGGCGCCATCTCGCAACCTGCAACGTAATTTGTTTAGATAAATATTTAATTCCAGACAAGGAGGTGCCTCTGCATACATACACGTAACACGGATATTTCACGAACAGAAAAATGTTGTTGGCGAGTGTAGTTACCGTGGTGCGGCGCAGTGATGAAGGTGGTTGCGGGGCGGGGGGCGCCGGGCGCGGGGGGCGCGGCGGTCACGGGGGGCGCGGGGGGCGCGAACCCGGCCGGAAGCTCGCCCTCCACGGTCACCAGGCCACGTCTAATGACAAACGACCGGGGATAAAAAAAAAAATTCTAGTTTCTCTCTAACAGTACTATCAGTATGGAATTGTGGAAGATTTCGTGAGACAACATAAAATAGTTAAGAAGAGCGAGATGTGAGATGTGACGTGAGCGAGGCGAACAGACCGGTCTATGAGACTGGGGGCGAGGGGTCCGCACAGCACGTGCCAGCAGTTGGCGCAGGCGTTGCCGCGGGAGTACGGGTTGGGGCTGGCGACACCGCCGCGGCTCGAGAACGACCCCTTGATCTGGAAATGGCGATAGCTTCTCGTTATTAACTAACCTAGCATTGATAATAAAAAAAACCGACCGAGACTCTAATGAATGATCTCGTTCTCGTCATCTGTCGCCTGCATTGTAAAACTGAGATTTTTATATAAACTAAATAAACTGTAATGTTATATGTAACACGGCAAAATGATGTAACGACGTAAAATAATCACGGAAGTGTGTTTCGAAGTAGGTTTTCACTAATATAAATACGAAATAGAGAGAAATG